AAACGATTAGGTATTTAAATATTTATTTTATTTTTATTAAATTTAATATAAATTATTTATTTATAAATAAATTTTATTAGAATTTTTTGAGGATCAACATATATTAATTATATGTACAACTTCTGAACAATTAAATGAATGGATGAAATGTGAATATTTTCAAATAGATTTATCTTTTAAACGTGTAGCTGGAGAAATAAATGAATTTGAGATTAATTATTATAATAATTCTCATAATTTAAGTAAGTTAATAATTTATTATATTATACATTTAAATATTTATTATATATTAATTAATTTATATTATTTAGTTCTTACCTTTGTTAGAGTTTTTACTAATCGTACAACCACTATTGCATATTAAAGAATTTTTCGATCTTTATTTGATCTTATATTTCAATTAACAAGTTTATCACCTCAGTTTAAGCATATCCATGGAACTGGGTGGAGTTGTATAATTGCTGACTTAGATTTAGCTCAAGTGCAAGATCTTGGCTTAGTATTAAATGAAATTGATAAAACAAAAAGTTGGGAAGATCATTTAGTTCATATATTTAAGTCATGTCATGTACACTATAAACGGTAAATATTAAATTTATTTATTTTATTTATTTATTTATTTATTTATTTATACTATATTATATTTATTATAGTAATATTTTAAATAAAAAATATGATAATGCTATTACAAATAATATGCTTGGACTTCTTACAGCTGATTCAGAAGATGCGATTAATAAATTATTTGATAATATTCAATTACTTGATGAAAATTTGAAAGGTTAAAATATTTAAATTTTTTTAAATAATTGATTATAAGTATTTAATAAATTTTTATTTTTACTAGATTGGGTCTTATTTTATCAGCAAAAATAGGTCATCGCATTATTTAATAAAAATATTTCACAAATAGATAATAATATTTCACAAATAGATAATAATATTTGGAGAATAGCACCTAATAATACTAATGTGGCAGAAGCTACACATGCTTTAAGTAATCAACGTGGAAAAGGTCTTCAATTAATAAATGCAATTTTACAGTATGTATATATATAATATGTTTAATAAATATTATATATATATATATATTTATTTATTATTATTTTTGTAGAGGACATAAATTAGATAAGGAAAGATTTATGACGATTAATATTCATCAGCAATATAATATACCTCAACAAGGACATAGTAAAGGCCTTATATCACGTAATTTTTTATCCAATAAGCGCAAAGGTAAATTAGCTATAAATGATTAATAATAATTTATTGCAAATTATTTATTTTATTATATTACTAAATGTATTTTTATAATTAGCCAAAGCTCAAACTAAAAGATTAAATACAACGAAACCAAAAACCAATAATAAAAAAAAAATTCTACAACAAAAAGGCAAAAAACTCAAAAAATAGTTACTGAATCCGAAGACACTAATGAAAGCAGTAATGAAGGAAGCTCAAAATCTGACAAGCTAGAATATTTAGAATGAAAATTGGTATTAAAAGAACATGAACTTGATTTGCGAGAGAGAGAGGCAAAAGTTTATTCAATTGAACTAACAAATCTTGAAAAAGAGCGTAAATTAAAATCCGCTAATTAATTAATATTGTCAATATAGTTAAGTTATAAAATATATCAATATCGATATATATATAAAATATATTAATATCAATATATATATATAAAAAAATTTTTTTTTTTTTTCTATTTAAAGGCCGGATACTATGGCTGATTTTTTATTATGAGTCAACGTAATATTTGTTATATGAGCAAGGATACAACTAGCCACATGTGCACTTTTGGTGTCTAATTTAAGTAGTCCGCCCAAAGGTTCTATACTAGCTGCCATACCTACAACCCAACTACGAAAGTTGCCTATTTAAACTCTCTGACTCACGATCCTCCTATTACTAACCAGATTCACTACATATTGCAGATATAATGGGCCTGACCCTTTTATTTCGACGGTCTAAGGACTACTTTACCCTCATATCAACTGCCTACTAAACAACTTTCCATGTCCCAAGCATGTAATTATTGCTGGATTTTAGTAACCGAAGCTACCTGTCCTTATTGATTCGTTCTGATCGTAGTACCAGCCTTCTTTTTGGCCTATACTATATGGACCGATTTTTACTACCTCCTAACTTGGGACTTGCCAAACAGGTTCTTGTAGGTTTTTTCCAGTTTCCTGGATTTGTGATGTAGTGTATCATTGCATCCGCAAGCTCCCATTCAAGATGGTGGAACCAGGATTACAGGTTTTATGCCCAACTGATCAGAAGCCACAATTACCAAACACTGATTTAATCTAAAATGTCACTAGTGGGATTCGAACTATTAATCTGCCACTTGGGGGTGACATCTTGACCACTTCTCTAAGGCACCACACCCTTATATATATAAAATATATCAATATCGATATATATATAATATATAATATATTGAATATAATAAATAAATACTCAATTGCTATAAGTTTAAATATTGCATATAAAATATTTATTCTTCAAAATATATATTAAATTTTTTAGCATACAAGTTTGCGCAAATATATATATTTAAGTATAGTATGCTATTTATATACATAATCGCTATTTTAATAGCATACACTACTACGTTGATCAACCATACATCACAACTATTTGTAATACCAATCGTATGATTGGCTGTTTAAATCAATTTAATTTTACATTATTTATACAGTTTAAAGTACTTTTTAAAAAAAATCAAA